AAAAAGGGGACACAGAAGCAGCCTGCCGTCCGTGTTCAGGAGCCGGGCGCGTTGAAAGGGACATTCCAACAGCAGCGGCGGGGGCGAGGAGGGGAAAGCACGCCCGGCGCTGGGAATGCCCTGGTCCTCTTCCCCGAGGCGGTGCGGGAAGGCGCCGGGGTCGCCCTCCTCGCTGTGGACTTGCTGGGAAGAAGTCCCATGGAAACCGGGGTAAACAGGCGGGGTGTGTGTGTGTGTGACTCCGCTGCCCTCCGACGGCTGAGGGAAACGCACGCCTCCTTTACAAACCGGATCAATTGATAACCGCCAGGCTGGAAGAAGAGACCTGCAGGGCGACGCGCAGCTACATTTCTAGTTGCAATCTGGGGCGGGACCCGCTGGGGACCCTTGCTTCAGCCCTCCAAGGCCTCTATGGAGGGGACCAAAGTTCTCTGTCGGAGATCCAGGGATGGGGCAGCGGCTGGTCTTACTGCTGGTTGCTGCTGCGGGGTGGTCTGGACGGGTTGGACGGAGGGGTGACTCTAAATTGATGGCCGTTGGAAGTTCTGTGGACGTCTCAAAAGGATGGTGGGACACAGACCCTGTTAGACCCTGTTAGACCAGTGTTTCTCAATCTTGGCAGCTTGAAGATGTGTGGACTTCAACTCCCAGAATTGCAGACCCTGTCACATCAGAGTGACTCTGCAGACCCTGTTAGACCAGTGTTTCTCAATCTTGGCAGCTTGAAGATGTGTGGACTTCAACTCCCAGAATTGCAGACCCTGTCACATCAGAGTGACTCTGCAGACCCTGTTAGACCAGTGTTTCTCAATCTTGGCAGCTTGAAGATGTGTGGACTTCAACTCCCAGAATTGCAGACCCTGTCACATCAGAGTGACTCTGCAGACCCTGTTAGACCAGTGTTTCTCAATCTTGGCAGCTTGAAGATGTGTGGACTTCAACTCCCAGAATTGCAGACCCTGTCACATCAGAGTGACTCTGCAGACCCTGTTAGACCAGTGTTTCTCAATCTTGGCAGCTTGAAGATGTGTGGACTTCAACTCCCAGAATTGCAGACCCTGTCACATCAGAGTGACTCTGCAGACCCTGTTAGACCAGTGTTTCTCAATCTTGGCAGCTTGAAGATGTGTGGACTTCAACTCCCAGAATTCCCCAGCCAGCATGCTGGCTGGGGAATTCTGGAAGTTGAAGTCCACACATCTTCAAGTCGCCAAGGTTGAGGAACACTGCTTGTCGACCTAACAGCAGGTCGTTAATGTAGGACTTATTCACATGGGCGCTTCACAGCTCAGAGGCAAAGCGGATCTGACCGGTCCAAGCCATTCCTCCTTCAGAAAGCTCACCAGCAGGACATGAATTGGTGGACTGAGGCCAGATGGATCAGGTTCACTGAAGGAAGAGCCAACGTGATCTAAATCAGGGCATGCAGGTTAGTGGGCAATCCCTTGTCTGTCCCTATGATCAAGCCATTTCTGGCATAAGATAAATGTTTTCAAAACAAGGGGTCCTGTAGTCCTAGTAAAACTTTTCACAAGCCTTGGAGTCTACTTCCGACTTCCTCCTTTTCTCCTAAACAGTTGGAGATCTGATTCCCATTTGATCTAGCTCTTCAGGGGCCATTTGTTCCCATTGGTCAAAAAAATCAATATGGCCACAACAGTATGCTTGAACTCTGCCTGTTTTTTATATCATCATGGTCACCATCTTGACTTTTTTTTACCATGCTCTGTGGACACTTCCATGTAGGGTCAGATAACCTTGACCTGCCTTTGGGAACAATTAGTAGCTCTTGCAAGTTATCCTGGTATTTTCCTTGTTCCTGTTGGTCCACTTCCTCTTGTTCTATTCCTCTCAATCTTGCCAAGCCTTGGATTTTTTTCCTCTCCCATTTTTTAAATTTATATTCTCTTGTTCTTTTCAACACCCACTTTTCGGAACAATTGTTGATTGCTTTAACTACTCTGATCTTTGCTATCATAGAAATATCTTTCCCCTTCAAGGTCTTGTCTAAGTTTGTTGCTACCTTTTTCCCTAGGATTAATCTCTTCTTTACTTCTCTGGTGCAAGGTCCACCTTTTTATAAATTGGCTTTAATTAAACAGAACAGCAAAATAAAACATAGAACAATAGGAAAAAGAAAAAGAAAAGAGAAAGCAAAACTAGAACAAAGAGTTATGTATAAGTGGTTCTCTTACATACACACACACACACACACACACGTATATGAAGGCATCAATGGTGATAGATGTAGCGGTGCTGAGTGACAGCAACATCAGGAAGAAGGAGCATGAGACGCTGGAAAAGTACCAGGGCCTGAAGGAGGAACTTGAGAGGATGTGGAAAGTCAAGGCCAAAGTGGTCCCAGTGGTGGTAGGAGCACTCGGGGCTGTGACTCCTAAGCTGGGAGAGGGCTCCGACAGATCCCAGGAAGAATGTCAGAGCTCTCTGTCCAGAAGAGTGCAGGGCTAGGAACAGCTCAGATCCTGCGCAGACCCCTCAAACACCCAGGCCTCTGGTAGAGGACCCGAGATTGAGGAAGACACAGACCACCCACAGGGGTGAGGGGGAATTTTTTTATAAAGTTTTTTTTTAAACACACACAGACATA